CAATTGCTCCCCCCAAGGGGACGAGCAAGAATTTCTCGTTGTTGAGAGCCGCCCCCCATGTGCGATTTCTCCAGGTCACGGTAGAATAAACTGCAGAACAGCGTGGACACCGTGGAGCCCTGGACATTTGCGGCGGATTGTGAGCGGCGAGTGGTTTGTGAGTTTGGGGGGGGGGGGGTGGCGGCGAAGCCACACATCCGACACAACAGCACCCACATACACACACACGCACACACACACACACACACACACACACACACGTTCACACGACCTGTGCGATGCCTTGTGTTTGGAGATAGAAGCGGTCTCCCATGCGCACGACGTTGTTGAAGATGTGTTTGCGCAGCAATTCAAGCTGCTCACTGCGCGTCGCAAATGCATAGCGCGCCTGCATGTGTGTGTGTGAATGTGCGTGTGTGTGTGTGTGTTAATGTGCGTGTGTGTGTTAATGTGTGTGTGTGTGTTAATGTGTGTGAGTGAGTGGGTGAGACTGATGCACATGTAAACACCCACATTACAAACCTCCTTCATCATTACCACCATCACCACCACCATCACCATCACCATCATGTCATCACCATGTCGACAATGACGGCATCGCGAACACCGCTGGAGCGGGACAGCGTCGAAGCGAAACGCTTGAAGTTGAGGGACGCGAGCGCAGACGTGGCCTGTCGCACGTGCTTCTGTTGTTGTTGTTGAGGGTCGTGGTGGTGTTGGTGGATGTGAGACGGTGCGGTGAGGTACAAGGAGAGAGACGGAGGCATGTAAGTGCGCGTGCGCGTGCGTGCGTGCGTGTGTGTGTGTGCTTGTACAACTGTGTACGTAGGTCCCTGCATGTGTACATGTGCAAGTACATCATGAAGGTGTGTTGTTGTCCCTCCGTGTGTGCATGTTCGTGAGCAGCCACAAGCTTGCATGCACAACCTTCTGTAGTCTGCCTTTGTTGTTGAAGAGATACGTGAACCGGCGAACGAGATACTCTTCCTCAGCCAGCACGCGCGACACGACATCATACAGCTTGTCCTGGTGGTGCACAAAGGCAGGCAGTTGTGAGGAGAAGTGCTGCTAAAGTCAACACTTGCTCAACAAATATGCAAACACACAGAAGAACAGACAGCAGCATCCACAAACCCACACACACACACACACACACACGCACACACACACACACGGCGACACACACACACACACACACACACAAGTTTGGACCTGGCG